CAGGTGACTCACGGTGAAGATCTCCACGATGTCGTTGGAGGTGGTGCGCACGGGGTCCACGTCCTTCTCGCTCAGCACCCGCATGAGGCTGACGCCGTCGGTCTCCAGGATCCACTCCTGGAGAGCCTTGAACTCCCCGTCCTCGGTGATGATGATCTTCTTCTTGTTGTCCGTCTGCGGCAGGTGCATGTACACCTGGGCAGGTGGGGACAGGTGTCACCATGGTGTCACCATGGGTGTCCCAGATCTTCTAAAGGTCTCTTGGAACCTCCTAAAAGTCTCCATGGAGAACTCCTGATGCTCCTCAAGATCTGCCTGGAGATCTTGAACCCCCAGAGCACCTGGTGGTACCCAAAGACCTTCTCAGGCGCCCACAGGTGTCACCAGGGACCATCCTGGATCTTCTAAAGGTCTCCTGGAACCTTCTAAAGGTCACCATGGAGCTCTCCAGGTATCTCTGGAGACCTTCTATCCCTTCATGGACCCCTCCAGGTGTCCCCAAGCCCCCCAAGGTGTCCCCAAGCCCCCCCAGGTGTCCCCACCTTGCTGATCTGCTCGATGCCCTGCAGGGTCATGTCCGTCAGCATGTTGGACTCGATGCAGCGCAGGAAGACGTCATCGTCCATCTTGTCCACCACCTCCTCCTCCTGGGGACACAGCGGGGGACAGGTGACACCCAGGCCATCCCAGGTGTCCCCCGAGGTGTCCCCGGAGGTGTCCCCAGGTCCCTGCCCACCTCCTGCATCTTGTTCTCGTCGCTGTTCATGATGCGGATGCGCAGCACCAGCTTCTCGGCGTTGTCGTCGTTGAAGATGCAGTTGAGGTCGTCACCAAAGCCTGGGAGGGGACACAAGGTGGGGACAGGGTCACCTCCAAGGTCACGGCACCCAAGGGACTTCCAGGGTGTCCTCAAAGATCTGCCAGGAACCCCCAAAGCTCCTCCAGGTTCACCCAGAATTCCTCGAAGAGCCCTCAGATGCCTTCAAGGGTCACCCAAGACCCTCAAAAAGCTCCTCAGATGTCCTCAAAACTCATCCAGGACACCTCAAACCCCCTTCAGGTATCTCAAAAGCTGCTCAGATGCCCTCAAAACTCATCCAGGACACCTCAAACCCCCTTCAGGTATCTCAAAGCTGCTCAGATGCCCTCAAAACTCACACAAGTCACCTCAAACCTCTTCCAGGACTCCCAAACCCCCTCCAAGACCCCTGAAAGCTGCTCAGATGCCCTCAAAACTCATCCAGGTCACCTCAAACCCCCTTCAGGTCTTTCAGAAGCTGCTCAGATGCCTTCAAACCTCCTCCAGGTCCCTCAAAAGCCCTTCCAGACTCACCCACAAGACCCCAAAAGTTCCTCAGATGCCTTCAAAACTCATCCAGGTCACCCCAAACCCCCTCCAGGTCCTCCAAAACCCCCCCAATCCTTGAACTTGGACTCGATCTCGCCCAGCATCCAGTCGAAGACACCCCAAGATCTGACCCCAAAACCCCTCAAAACCCCAAAAGTGACCCCAAAACCCCCCAAGGATGACCCCAAACACCCCAAAGCCCGTTCTCACGATGGCCTGGTTGAACTTGGACTCGATCTCGCCCAGCAGCCAGTCGAAGGCCTCCCCGCTGAGCCGGAACTCCTCCACCATGCGGCGGCTGCAGAGCGTGGAGCGCAGGTGGATGTTGAAGAGCAGCGTCGCGTTCTCCTGCGCCTGCCGGCTCAGCGGGTCCTCCCCGTTGACGATCACCAGCTTGCGGCTCAGCTCCTTCACCCCTGAGGGGACAGCATGGTCACAGGGGGGTCCCAAGGATGGCCAGAACCTTCCAGAGCATCTGGAACCCATCGCAGCTTCCTGAGGGAACTCCAGAACCTTCCCGAGGGACTCAAGAAACTCCAGAACCTTCCTGAGGGACTCAAGGATCTCCAGAACCTTCCAGAGCATCTCCAAACCAATCACAGCTTCCTGAGGGACTCAAGAACCTCCAGAACCTTCCAGAACATCTCCAAACCCATCACAGCTTTCTGAGGGACTCAAGGACCTCTAGAACCTTCCTGAGGGATTCAAGGACCTCCAGAACCTTCCTGAGAGACCCCAAACCTGTCACAACTTCTTGAGGGATTCAAGGATCTCTGGAGCCTTCCAGAACATCTCCAAACCCATCACAGCTTCCTGAGGGACTCAAGGACCTCCAGAACCTTCCTGAGAGACCCCAAACCTGTCACAACTTCTTGAGGGATTCAAGGATCTCTGGAGCCTTCCAGAACATCTCCAAACCCATCACAGCTTCCTGAGGGAACTCCAGAACCTTCCTGAGGGACTCCAGAACCTCCAGAACCTTCCCGAAGGACTCAAGAAACTCCAGAACCTTCCAGAACATCTCCAAACCCATCACAGCTTCCTGAGGGACTCAAGGAACTCCAGAACCTTCCTGAGGGACTCAAGGATCTCCAGAACCTTCCAGAGCATCTCCAAACCAATCACAGCTTCCTGAGGGACTCAAGGATCTCCAGAACATTCCTGAGGGACCCCAGAGCCATGCTCCACTCACCCTCCACCACCTTGACCGGGTGCAGGTCCGAGGGCAGCCGGGAGTTGATGTGGAAGATCTTCTGCGCGTTCCAGATCATGCGGAGCAGGTTACAGGGGAGCACCACCTGGGGGGAGAGGAACCCCAAAAAAGGGGGTCAGAACCCCAAAATGGGGGAGAGGAACCCCAAAAACGAGGGTTAGAACCCAAAAATGGGGGAGAAGAACCCCAAAAATAGGGAGTTAAGAGCCCAAAAATGGAGCATCTTGGTATTTTGGGGTGTCCTGGTTGGATTTCGAGGAGGTTTTGGGATGTCCTGGTTGGAATTTGGGTTTTGGGTCATTCCAGTTGGATTTTGGGGTATCTCTGGGATTTTGGGGTATCTCGGTTGGATTTTGAGGTATCTCCGTAGGGTTTTGGGATGTTTCAGGTGTTTTTGGGGTGGATTTTGGTGTCACCTTGCTGTCCCCGGTGGGGAAGATGACCCTGAGCACCTCCATGCACCCCAAAAAGAGGAATCTGGGATGCTCTGGGTGGATTTTGGGTATCTCGGTTGGGTTCTGGGATATCTCTGAGAGGTTTTGGGGTATCTTGGTGGGATTTTGAGGTATCTCAGATGAGTTTTGGGGTATCTCAGTTGGGTTTTGGGGTATCTCGGTTGGGTTTTGGGGTATTTCAGATGGGTTTTGGGGTGTCCCAGGTGTTTTTGGGGGGGATTTTGGGGTCACCTTGCTGTCCCCGGCGGGGAAGATGACCCTGAGCACCTCCAGGCCCCCCAAAAAGAGGAATCTGGGATGCTCTGGGTGGAGTTTGGGGATCTCGGTTGGGTTCTGGGATATCTCTGAGAGGTTTTGGGGGATCTTGGTGGGATTTTGAGGTATCTCAGATGAGTTTTGGGGTATCTCAGTTGGGTTTTGGGGTATCTCGGTTGGGTTTTGGGGTATTTCAGATGGGTTTTGGGGTGTCCCAGGTGTTTTTGGGGGGGATTTTGGGGTCACCTTGCTGTCCCCGGCGGGGAAGATGACCCTGAGCACCTCCAGGCCCCCCAAAAAGAGGAATCTGGGATGCTCTGGGTGGAGTTTGGGGATCTCGGTTGGGTTCTGGGATATCTCTGAGAGGTTTTGGGGGATCTTGGTGGGATTTTGAGGTATCTCAGATGAGTTTTGGGGTATCTCAGTTGGGTTTTGGGGTATCTCGGTTGGGTTTTGGGGTATTTCAGATGGGTTTTGGGGTGTCCCAGGTGTTTTTGGGGGGGATTTTGGGGTCACCTTGCTGTCCCCGGCGGGGAAGATGACCCTGAGCACCTCCAGGCCCCCCAAAAAGAGGAATCTGGGATGCTCTGGGTGGAGTTTGGGGATCTCGGTTGGGTTCTGGGATATCTCTGAGAGGTTTTGGGGGATCTTGGTGGGATTTTGAGGTATCTCAGATGAGTTTTGGGGTATCTCAGTTGGGTTTTGGGGTATCTCGGTTGGGTTTTGGGGTATTTCAGATGGGTTTTGGGGTGTCCCAGGTGTTTTTGGGGGGGATTTTGGGGTCACCTTGCTGTCCCCGGCGGGGAAGATGACCCTGAGCACCTCCAGGCCCCCCAAAAAGAGGAATCTGGGATGCTCTGGGTGGAGTTTGGGGATCTCGGTTGGGTTCTGGGATATCTCTGAGAGGTTTTGGGGGATCTTGGTGGGATTTTGAGGTATCTCAGATGAGTTTTGGGGTATCTCAGTTGGGTTTTGGGGTATCTCGGTTGGGTTTTGGGGTATTTCAGATGGGTTTTGGGGTGTCCCAGGTGTTTTTGGGGTGGATTTTGGTGTCACCTTGCTGTCCCCGGTGGGGAAGATGACCCTGAGCACCTCCATGCACCCCAAAAAGAGGAATCTGGGATGCTCTGGGTGGATTTTGGGTATCTCGGTTGGGTTCTGGGATATCTCTGAGAGGTTTTGGGGTATCTTGGTGGGATTTTGAGGCATCTCAGATGGGTTTTGGGATATCTCGGATGGGTTTTGGGCTGTCCCAGGTGTTTTTAGGTGGGTTTTGGGGTGTCCCAGGTGTTTTTGGGTGGATTTTAGTGTCACCTTGCTGTCCCCGGTGGGGAAGATGACCCTGAGCACTTCCCTGTCCTCGCGCATGCGGTCGAACTCGCGCTCCAGCTCGTTCTGGATGTGGGCGTTGGACAGGATGTCCTTGACCAGCTCCTCCTGCAGCGTCCGCCGCAGCGCCCGCTCGTTGGTGTAGTCAAACTTGAACCTGCGGGGACACGGGGACACCTCAGGGACAGCCAAGGGACACTGAAGTGTCACCCACGTCAGGCTGGAGAAGCTTGGGGACACCAAAAAAGCTGGTCCCTGTTGGGTAGGAGAAGGTTGGGGACACCAAAACGTGACCAAAGTTTGGGAGGAGAAAGTTGGGGACACCAGTGTGGGTCCCAGTTTGGGGTGGAGCAGCTTGGGGACACCAAAACATGACCAGAATTTGGGAAGAGGAGGTTGGGGACAGTCAAGTGCCATCCAGCTTGGGAAGAAGGAGGTTGTGGACAACCAAGTGTCAACCAGATTGGGGAGGAGCCACTTGGAAGACCCCAAAATGTCCCCAACTTCTGGATGAGCCACTTGGGGACCTCAAGATGGGTCTGAAACCTTGGAAGGAGCCACCTGAAGACCCCAAGAGGTCCCTAATTCCCATTTGAAGACCTCAAGATGTCCCCAACTCCTATTTGAAGACCCCAAGATGTCCCCAACTCCCATTTGAAGACCCCAAGATGTCCCCAATCCCATTTGAAGACCCCAAGCTGTCCCCAACTCCTTTGAATACCCCAAGATGTCCCCAACTCCCATTTGAAGACCCGAAGATGTCCCCAACTCCTTTGAAGACCCCAAGACGTCCCCAACTCCCAGAATAAGCCCCTCAATGACGCCAACAGGGCCACTGACCCCACCCATGACCACGCCCTGCCCCGGGCCGTGTCCCCCCTGGCCCTCACTTCTTCTCGAAGGCCTTGTTGGAGGGTTTGAGGGTGGCCAGGTTCTGGAACTCGACGCTCTCTCCGGCCAGCCCGTCCTCGCCGTAGCGCAGCTGCACCACCTGGTTGATGGAGTTCCTGACGGTGGCGTCGTACTTGACCATCACCGACTCCATGGACTTGATCAGCCGCCGCTGGATGTACCCTGAGGGGTGGGGAGGGGTCAGCTGGCACCTGGGGAGGGTTGGGGGGACTCCAGGAGGCACCTGGAGAGGGTTTGAGGATCCTGGATGTCCCCAGGAGGCATCTGGGGAGGGTTTGGGGATTCTGGAGGAGCCTGGGATGGGTCTGGGGATCCTGGAGGCATCTGGAGAGGGCTTGGGGTCTCCAGGAGGCATCTGGGATGAGTTTGGGGATCCTGGATGCATCTGGGGAGGGTTTGGGATCACCAGGAGGCATCTGGGGAGGGTTTGGTATCCTGGAGGCATCTGCAGAGGGTTTGGGTATCCTGGAGGTCCCCAGGAGGCATTTGGGGAGAGTCTGGGGTCTCCAGGAGACATCTGGGGAGGGTTTGGGGTCTCCAGGAGGCATTTGGGGAGGGTTTAGGATCACCAGGAGGCATCTGGGGAGGATTTGAGGATCCTGGAGATCCCCAGGAGGCATCTGGGGAGGATTTGGGGTCTCCAGTAGGTATCTGGGGAGGGTTTGGGGCCCTCAGGGTTTCCATACTGGAATTTTGGGGTGCTGGAGGTCCCTTGGGTGGAATTTTGGACTCCTGAAAGCCCCACGGTGACGTTCCGGGGACACTGACCGGTCTCGGCCGTCTTCACGGCCGTGTCGATGAGGCCCTCGCGGCCGCCCATGGCGTGGAAGAAGAACTCGGTGGGCGTGAGGCCGGCCAGGTAGGAGTTCTCCACGAAGCCGCGGCTCTCGGGGCCGTAGTCGTCCTTGATGAAGTGCGGCAGCGTCCGGTGCTTGAAGCCGAACGGGATCCGCTTGCCCTCCACGTTCTGCTGCCCCACCACCGCGATCACCTGAGGGGACACCGGGCGGGGACGTTGGGGACATCTCCTGAAATCAGCTCCGAAGCTCAAGAAAATCAAAAAAGCTCCATGGAACTCCACAGGAACCACTCAAAAGCTCCTGAGATCCTGCAGGAACTGCCCCAAGCCTCCTCAGATCCTCCAAGAACCAGCCCAAACCTCCTGAGATCCTGCAGGAACTGCCCCAAACTTCCTGAGATCCTCCAAGAACCAGCCCAAAGCTCCTGAGATCCTGCAGGAACTGCCCCAAACTTCCTGAGATCATCCAGGAACCGCCCCAAACCTCCTGTAGAATCTCCAGGAACTGTCCCAAACCCTCTGAGATCATCCAGCAACCACCTAAACCTCATGAGATCCTCCAGGAACTGCCCCAAACCTCCTCAGATCCTCCAGGAACCACCCCAAACCCCCTGAGATCCTCAAGAAACCGCCCCAAACCTCCTGAGATCCTCTAGGAACTGCCCCAAACCTCCTGCCAGAATCCTCCAGGAACTGCCCCAAACCCTCTGAGATCATCCAGGAACCACCCCAAACCTCCTGAGATCCTCCAGGAACTGCCCCAAACCTGTAGAATCCTCCAGGAACTGCCCCAGACCTCCTGAGATCCTCTAGGAACTGCCCCAAATCTTCTGAGATCTTCCAGGAACTGCCCCAAACCCTCTGAGATCATCCAGGAACCACCTAAACCTCCTGAGATCCTCCAAGAACCATCCCAAACCTCCTGAGATCCTGCAGGAACTGCCCCAAACCCCCTGAGATCCTCCAAGAACCACTCCAAACCCCACACAGAGGCCCCCCCCAAGACCTTCTGGAACGCCCCAAACCTGGGAGATGTTGATCTTGGAGCCCTTGGCCCCCGAGACCACCATGGATTTGAAGTTGTTGTACTCGGACAGGGATTTCTGGGCAGAGGAGCCGGTCTTGTCACGGGCGTCGTTGAGGATCCTGTTCACCTGGTTCTCAAAGGTCTGGCGCAAGGTGTTGCCCGGGGTGGGCTCCAGCTCGTTGTTGTGGGCCTTCTCGATCACCTGGAGACCCCAAAAACCACCCCAAAAGGGTCAGTGGGGAGTCCCGAAACTCCCTGATGGCCAAAACCACCTGAGAACCTCAAAAAACCCCAAAAAACTCCACAGGAACCAACCAGAACACCCGAGATCCTCCACAAACCCTGTATGGCGCACACCAAGACCTTCTGAAAGCTCCCAAACCTGGAAGATGTTGGTCTTGGACCTCCTGGTGCCCAAAACCATCTCAAGAACCTCAAAAAAATCCCAAAAACTTCACAGGAACCTCCAGGAACCCCCTGAGATCCTGCCAAACCACCTGAGAACCTCAAAAAACCCCAAAAAACTCCACAGGAACCAACCAAAACCCTTTGAAATCCTCCAGAAACCACCACAAACCCTGTATGGCGCACACCAAGACCTTCTGAAAGCTCCCAAACCTGGAAGATGTTGGTCTTGGACCTCCTGGTGCCCAAAACCATCTCAAGAACCTCAAAAAAATCCCAAAAACTTCACAGGAACCTCCAGGAACCCCCTGAGATCCTCCAGGAACTGCCTCAAACCTCCTGAGATCCTCCAGGAACCACCCCAAACCCCCTGAGATCCCCCAGGAACTGCCTCAAACCTCCTGAGATCCTCCAGGAACCACCCCAAACCCCTGAGGAATTCCCCAAATTCCCAGGAAACCCCCCCAAATCCCACCTCGATGACATCCTGCTTGGCCTTCTTGATGGTGTTCTGGATGTCCTGGTAGGTCTTGGCGTCGGCGATGGAGTCCCCGATGCCGATGGTGTGACCTGGGGGGACACTTGGGGTTCAGGGGGATCCCCCCAAACTTGGGGTCAAATCCAACCCCTCACCCCAAAAAACCAACCCTGGGGCAGGTTCTGGACAGGCTGTGGGACAAAGGGAGGACATGAGGACAATGAGGTCCTTTAGGGACAAAAATGGGGTTGGGACCATCCCCCAAAATTCCTGAGTCCTCCTTGTCCCCAAAAAAGGGGTCCAAGAGCCCCAGATTGGCGTCGGCGATGGAGTCCCCGATGCCGATGGTGTGACCTGGGGGGACACTTGGGGTTCAGGGGGATCCCCCCAAACTTGGGGTCAAATCCAACCCCTCACCCCAAAAAACCAACCCTGGGGCAGGTTCTGGACAGGCTGTGGGACAAAGGGAGGACATGAGGACAATGAGGTCCTTTAGGGACAAAAATGGGGTTGGGACCATCCCCCAAAATTCCCGAGTCCTCCTTGTCCCCAAAAAAAGGGGAACCACCAGGACCTCAAGAAAGGGGTCCAAGAGCCCCAGGGCTCCACCAAGATGGGATCTGAGAAAGTCCCTGGGTGACCAAACCCCCATTAGATGCCACCAAGAGGGTTCCCAGTCCCCCAGGAGCCCCCAGGACCGCTCCAAGAACCACCAGGACCTCAAGAAAGGAGTCCAAGAGCCCCAGGGCTCCACCAAGATGGGATCTGAGAAAGTCCCTGGGTGACCAAACCCCCATTAGATGCCACCAAGAAGGTTCCCAGTCCCTCCAGTTCCCAAAATAGGGGTCCAAGAACCACCAGAACCTTAAAAATGGGGTCCAAGAGCTCCAGGGCTCCACCAAGATGGGATCTGAGAAGGTCCCTGGGTGACCAAACCCCCATTAGATGCCACCAAGAGGGTTCCCAGTCCCCCCAGTTCCCAAAATAGGGGTCCAAGAACCACCAGGACCTCAAGAAAGGAGTCCAAGAGCTCCAGGGCTCCACCAAGATGGGATCTGAGAAAGTCCCTGGGTGACCAAACCCCCATTAGATGCCACCAAGAAGGTTCCCAGTCCCTCCAGTTCCCAAAATAGGGGTCCAAGAACCACCAGGACCTCAAGAAAGGAGTCCAAGAGCCCCAGGGCTCCACCAAGATGGGATCTGAGAAAGTCCCTGGGTGACCAAACCCCCATTAGATGCCACCAAGAGGGTTCCCAGCCCCCCAGGAGCCCCCAGGACCGCGCTGACCCTCGATGAGCAGCCAGTTGTTGATGACAGTCTGGATGTTGCTGTAGAAGAGCCGCGTGGTGTCGTGGCCCATCTCCAGGTAGGAGATGTGCACCAGGGACCCGGCCGACGTCCCCAGGGACTTCTTGCACAGGATGCCCATGATGAGCTCTCCGTTCTCCACGATCACCTGGGGACACCCAAAGAACGTGGTGAGGACATCAAAGATCCAAAAAAACCCCAAAACCCACCTGGAGCACCCCAAAAACAACCCCAGATCACCTCAAGTCTACAAAGCTCTCCCAGATCAGAGCAAGTCCCACCAAAGCCCCCTGAGAAACCACCAAAACGCCTCAAACCACCCCAAACTCCCTCAGATCCCACCAAAACCCTATGAAACCACCCCAAAGCCCTCTCAGATCCCACCAAAACCCCCTCAAACCACTCCAAAGCTCCCTCAGATCCTACCAAAACCCTATGAAACCACCCCAAAGCCCTCTCAGATCCCACCAAAACCCCCTCAGACCACACCAAACTCCCTCAGATCCCACCAAAACCCCATCAAACCACCCCAAAGCTCCCTCAGATCCCACCAAAACCCTATGAAACCACCCCAAAGCCCTCTCAGATCCCACCAAAGCCCCCTCAGATCACCTTTCTGCCCCACCAAGCCTCCCTAGACCTCCTCAGGTGTCCCCACCTTGGTGTCCCCGGGGGAGATGTGCTTGTAGGGGCCGCTGTCCTCGTCGTCGGGGTGGGTGCTGTGGGTGCGGATGCAGTTGATGTGGCCAGGGATGATCAGGGAGAAGATTTGCTTCCCTGTCCAGAGCGGCCGCGGCTTCAGGATGGCTGGCTGGGGCACCTTGCCATCCCACGTGGACAGGAACATCAGCAGGTTCATCACCTCGCCCTGAGGGACACCCCAAAACTGTCACTAATCAAAGAAAAACCCACAGAGAACCCAAAATACCGCAAAGATGTCCCAACTCCCCCCAAAATCCCTGTCCCACGTGGACAGGAACATCAGCAGGTTCATCACCACACCCTGAGGGACACCCCAAAAACACCCCAAAGATGTCATCAATCACGAAAACCCCACAGAGATCCCAAAACTTCCTGAAAATGTCCTAAAAGTCCCCAAAATCCTCCCAAATGAGACCATCTCAAGGAAGATGTCCCTCTTGGTGAGTCTGTGCATGGCCATCAGTGTGTCCCACCTCAAACACCTGCCCTAAAACCCCTCAAATCACCCCAAAACCACCCTAAACCAACTCTAAATCACCTCAAACCAACCCCAAAACCCCCAGAACACCCCAAAATGACCCCAAACAGACCCTCTTGAGGAAGACGTCCCTCTTGGTGAACTTGTGCCCACCTCAGACACCTGCCCTAAAACCCCTCAAATCACCCCAAAACCACCCTAAACCAACCCTAAACCACCTCAAACCAACCCCAAAACCCCCAGAACACCCCAAAATGACCCCAAACAGACCCTCTCGAGGAAGACGTCCGTCTTGGTGAACTTGAGCACACCTCAAACACCTGCCCTAAACCCCTCAAATCACCTCAAAACGACCCTAAACCAACCCTAAACCACCTCAAACCAACCCCAAAACCCCCCAAATGACCCCAAAACGGCCCCTTCTCCAGGAAGATGTTCCTCTTGGTCAACTTGCACACGGTCATCAGCGTGTCCAACGCAACACCACCAGAAACCACCCCAAAACCACGATAAATCACCCCAAAACCACCAGAGATGACCTAAAATTAACACCAGATAATTTCAAATCAACCTAAACACCCCCAAAATGACCCCAAAACGGACCCTCTCGAGGAAGACGTCCCTCTTGGTGAACTTGCGCATGGCTGTCAGCGTGTCCCACCTCAAACACCTGCCCTAAAACCCCTCAAATCACCCCAAAACCACCCTAAACCAACTCTAAATCACCTCAAACCAACCCCAAAACCCCCAGAACACCCCAAAATGACCCCAAACAGACCCTCTTGAGGAAGACGTCCCTCTTGGTGAACTTGTGCCCACCTCAGACACCTGCCCTAAAACCCCTCAAATCACCCCAAAACCACCCTAAACCAACCCTAAATCACCTCAAACCAACCCCAAAACCCCCAAAACACCCCGAGATGACCCCAAAACGGACCCTCTCGAGGAAGACGTCCCTCTTGGTGAACTTGCGCATGGCCATCAGGGTGTCCCACCTCAAACACCTGCTCTAAAACCCCTCAAATCACCCCAAAACCACCCTAAACCAACTCTAAATCACCTCAAACTAACCCCAAAGCCCCAAAACGACCCCAAAACGACCCCAAAACGGACCCTCTCGAGGAAGACATCCCTCTTGGTGAACTTGCACACGGCCATCAGCACGTCCTAAATTAAATCCTCTAAACCCGGTATCACCCTAAAACCATTTCCTAGCCTCAAAATCACACCAAAACCCTCAAAAATCACCCTAAAAACACTCCAAAACCCCCAAAACGACCCCAAAACGGACCCTCTCGAGGAAGATGTCCCTCTTGGTGAACTTGAGCACACCTCAAACACCTGCCCTAAAACCCCTCAAATCACCCCAAAACCACCCTAAACCAACCCTAAATCACCTCAAACTAACCCCAAAGCCCCAAAACGACCCCAAAACGACCCCAAAACGGACCCTCTCGAGGAAGACATCCCTCTTGGTGAACTTGCACACGGCCATCAGCACGTCCTAAATTAAATCCTCTAAACCCGGTATCACCCTAAAACCATTTCCTAGCCTCAAAATCACACCAAAACCCTCAAAAATCACCCTAAAAACACTCCAAAACCCCCAAAACGACCCCAAAACGGACCCTCTCGAGGAAGATGTCCCTCTTGGTGAACTTGAGCACACCTCAAACACCTGCCCTAAAACCCCTCAAATCACCCCAAAACCACCCTAAACCAACCCTAAATCACCTCAAACTAACCCCAAAGCCCCAAAACGACCCCAAAACGACCCCAAAACGGACCCTCTCGAGGAAGACATCCCTCTTGGTGAACTTGCACACGGCCATCAGCACGTCCTAAATTAAATCCTCTAAACCCGGTATCACCCTAAAACCATTTCCTAGCCTCAAAATCACACCAAAACCCTCAAAAATCACCCTAAAAACACTCCAAAACCCCCAAAACGACCCCAAAACGGACCCTCTCGAGGAAGATGTCCCTCTTGGTGAACTTGAGCACACCTCAAACACCTGCCCTAAAACCCCTCAAATCACCCCAAAACCACCCTAAACCAACCCTAAATCACCTCAAACTAACCCCAAAGCCCCAAAACGACCCCAAAACGACCCCAAAACGGACCCTCTCGAGGAAGACATCCCTCTTGGTGAACTTGCACACGGCCATCAGCACGTCCTAAATTAAATCCTCTAAACCCGGTATCACCCTAAAACCATTTCCTAGCCTCAAAATCACACCAAAACCCTCAAAAATCACCCTAAAAACACTCCAAAACCCCCAAAACGACCCCAAAACGGACCCTCTCGAGGAAGATGTCCCTCTTGGTGAACTTGAGCACACCTCAAACACCTGCCCTAAAACCCCTCAAATCACCCCAAAACCACCCTAAACCAACCCTAAATCACCTCAAACTAACCCCAAAGCCCCAAAACGACCCCAAAACGACCCCAAAACGGACCCTCTCGAGGAAGACATCCCTCTTGGTGAACTTGCACACGGCCATCAGCACGTCCTAAATTAAATCCTCTAAACCCGGTATCACCCTAAAACCATTTCCTAGCCTCAAAATCACACCAAAACCCTCAAAAATCACCCTAAAAACACTCCAAAACCCCCAAAACGACCCCAAAACGGACCCTCTCGAGGAAGATGTCCCTCTTGGTGAACTTGAGCACACCTCAAACACCTGCCCTAAAACCCCTCAAATCACCCCAAAACCACCCTAAACCAACCCTAAATCACCTCAAACTAACCCCAAAGCCCCAAAACGACCCCAAAACGACCCCAAAACGGACCCTCTCGAGGAAGACATCCCTCTTGGTGAACTTGCACACGGCCATCAGCACGTCCTAAATTAAATCCTCTAAACCCGGTATCACCCTAAAACCATTTCCTAGCCTCAAAATCACACCAAAACCCTCAAAAATCACCCTAAAAACACTCCAAAACCCCCAAAACGACCCCAAAACGGACCCTCTCGAGGAAGATGTCCCTCTTGGTGAACTTGAGCACACCTCAAACACCTGCCCTAAAACCCCTCAAATCACCCCAAAACCACCCTAAACCAACCCTAAATCACCTCAAACTAACCCCAAAGCCCCAAAACGACCCCAAAACGACCCCAAAACGGACCCTCTCGAGGAAGACATCCCTCTTGGTGAACTTGCACACGGCCATCAGCACGTCCTAAATTAAATCCTCTAAACCCGGTATCACCCTAAAACCATTTCCTAGCCTCAAAATCACACCAAAACCCTCAAAAATCACCCTAAAAACACTCCAAAACCCCCAAAACGACCCCAAAACGGACCCTCTCGAGGAAGATGTCCCTCTTGGTGAACTTGAGCACACCTCAAACACCTGCCCTAAAACCCCTCAAATCACCCCAAAACCCCCCTAAACCAACTCTAAATCACCTCAAACCAACCCCAAAACCCCCAAAACCCCCCGAAATGACCCCAAAACGGACCCTCTCGAGGAAGACGTCCCTCTTGGTGAACTTGCGCACAGCCGTCAGCATGTCCCACCTCAAACACCTGCCCTAAAACCCCTCAAATCACCCCAAAACCACCCTAAACCAACCCTAAATCACCTCAAACTAACCCCAAACCCCCAAAACACCCCGAGATGACCCCAAAACGGACCCTCTCGAGGAAGACGTCCCTCTTGGTGAACTTGCGCATGGCCATCAGGGTGTCCCACCTCAAACACCTGCTCTAAAACCCCTCAAATCACCCCAAAACCACCCTAAACCAACTCTAAATCACCTCAAACTAACCCCAAAGCCCCAAAACGACCCCAAAATGACCCCAAAACGGACCCTCTCGAGGAAGACGTCCCTCTTGGTGAACTTGCGCATGGCCATCAGGGTGTCCCACCTCAAACACCTGCTCTAAAACCCCTCAAATCACCCCAAAACCCCCCTAAACCAACCCTAAATCACCTCAAACTAACCCCAAAGCCCCAAAACGACCCCAAAACGACCCCAAAACGGACCCTCTCGAGGAAGACATCCCTCTTGGTGAACTTGCACACGGCCATCAGCACGTCCTAAATTAAATCCTCTAAACCCGGTATCACCCTAAAACCATTTCCTAGCCTCAAAATCACACCAAAACCCTCAAAAATCACCCTAAAAACACTCCAAAACCCCCAAAACGACCCCAAAACGGACCCTCTCGAGGAAGACGTCCCTCTTGGTGAACTTGCGCACGGCCGTCAGCGTGTCCTGCACGATGCCCATGACGGGCCGGTTGCTCTGGGGGGTGACGATCATCCGGGGCACCATGGCCAGCTCCTGGATCTCCGCCCGCGTCTCCAGCGACTGCGGCAGGTGCAGGTTCATCTCGTCGCCGTCAAAGTCGGCGTTGTAGGGCGTGGTGACACTGCGGGGACATCGGGGACATTGTGGGGACACTGGGACATTGGGGACATTGTGGGGACACTGGGACATTGGGGACATTGTGCAGACATGGGGCAGGTTCATCTCGTCGCCGTCAAAGTCGGCGTTGTAGGGCGTGGTGACACTGCGGGGACATTGGGGACATTGTGGGGACACTGGGACATTGGGGACACCGAGACATGTGGGACATTGGGGACATTGTGGGGACACTGGGACATCTGGGACATTGTGCAGACATGGGGCAGGTTCATTTCATCACCATCAAAGTCAGCATTGTAGGGTTTGGTGACACTGTGGGGACATTGGGGACACTGGGGCATTGGGGACACTGAGACATCTGGGACACTGGGGACACTAAGACATCTGGGACATTGTGGGGACACTGGGACATTGGGGACATTGTGCAGACATGGGACAGGGTCATTTCATCACCATCAAAGTCGGCGTCATAGGGCGTGGTGACACTGCGGGGACATCGAGGGGACATCGGGAACACACCAGGGACACGTTCATCTCATCACAGAAGGTGGACCGGGGCAGGATTTGGGGTGATTTTGGGGTGATTTTGGGGTTTTTGGGGTTTTTGGGGTTTTTTACCTCAGATTCAGACGGAAGGTGGACCAGGGCAGGATCCTGACCCTGTGGCCCATCATGGACATCTTGTGCAGGGTGGGCTGCCGGTTGAAGATGACGATGTCCCCGTCGCACATGTGACGCTCCACCTGTCCCCAAACCCCCCCAAAAGTCAGGGGGACACCCCAAAAATGGGGGACACCCCAAAAACGGCATCTTTCCCCCAAAAATGGTGGGGTCAGAGTGAGGAGAATGAGAGGTTTGGGGTTAAATTCGCTTCCTGGTGGTGCTGAAGGCCAAAATTGAGGATTGAACCCCAAATTTCAGAGATTTGAACCCAAAATTATGGATTGATCCCCAAATCCAGAATTGGGAACCCCAAAATCAGGGATTGAGCCCCAAATCCTGAGCTCTGAACCCCAAAATCAGGATTTGAACCCCAAATCCAGAGCTCTGAACCCCAAAATCAGGATTTGAACCCCAAATCCAGAGCTCTGAACCCCAAAATCAGGGACTGATCCCAAAATTCCAGAGCTCTGAACCCCAAAATCAGGGACTGATCCCAAAACCCAAGGCTCTGAACCCCAAAATCAGGGACTGACCCCAAACCCAGAGATCTGAACCCCAAAATCAGGGACTGATTCCAAAATTCCAGAGCTCTGAACCCCAAAATCAGGGACTGATCCCAAAATTCCAGAGCTCTGAACCCCAAAATCAGGGACTGACCCCAAACCCAGAGCTCTGAACCCCAAAATCAGGGACTGATTCCAAAATTCCAGAGCTCTGAACCCCAAAATCAGGGACTGATCCCAAAATTCCAGAGCTCTGAACCCCAAAATCAGGGACTGATCCCAAAATTCCAGAGCTCTGAACCCCAAAATCAGGAATTGATCCCCAAATCCAGAGCTCTGAACCCCAAAATCAGGGACTGATCCCAAAATTCCAGAGCTCTGAACCCCAAAATCAGGGACTGACCCCAAACCCAGAGCTCTGAACCCCAAAACCAACAATCACCCCCCGCAGCTGTGGGCTCCACACCCAGTTTTTGGCGTCCCCCCGATTTTTGGGATGCCGCTGTGGATTCTGGGGTCCCTCCCCGGATCTGGGGGTTTTGGGGTGCTGACCTTGTAGCCGATCTGCAGGTGGAGGTCGCTGGGTTTGGGGTGGAAGCGGAGGTCGATCCTGTCCCCGTTGTCCCTGATGATGTACTTGGCCCCCGGGTACTGACTGTTCCCCCTGCGCACCAGCTCCTGCAGCCTGAGGGGGTTTTGGGGTCAATTTCGGGGATTTTGGGGCTCTGGGAGTCACCTCACAGCTCTCAGAGTCACCTTGAGGAGGATCAGTGGGGTTTAAAGGGTGTTTGGGGTGGTTTTGGGTTATTGGGATTTGCTCTAAATTACCAAAGGTCATGTTGGCAGTGATGGACCAGGGAACATCAGCACTAAACCCCCCAAACTCCCCCTAAATCACCCCAAACCTCTAAAAATCAAACCCCCCTGTGACCCCTGCTGTACCCGGGGCAGGCCGGGCAGCTCGTTGTCCACCATGGTGGCCACGTGGAACTGCAGCAGCTTGACGTCCTCGGCGATGACGTGCGCGGCCGCCCCGTTCTGCTCGTTGCGCCGCAGCTGGTTGTTGATCTTGACGATGTCGGCCAGTTTGTGGGTCAGGTCATCCTGGGGACACCCCAAAATTAGTGGGGTGACCCCAACGTTTATTAGTGGGGGGGTGGTATTGATAGAGGGAGGTGAGAAAGCCCAAAATGACATGGGAAAGGTGCAGGGTGGATTTAGGGTGGGAGAATAATGGGGAGACCCCAAAGAGTCTTGGGGGTGACCCCAAAAGGGGATTGGGGACCCTAAGAAGGCATCAGAGACCGCAATACCCACCCTGGGACCCCCCAAAAGCTGCCCCAGTGCCCACCTGCTTGTGGACAGAGCCCTGCATGACCACAAACAGCGAGGGCACAGCGCCCCAAACACCCCCAAAACTACAGAAAATCTGGGGCTACTGGGGTGAAAAATGGGGCTACCGGGGTGGAAAACGGGGTTATTGGGGTGAAGAATGGAGTTATTGGAGTCAATAATGGGGCTACTGGGGTGAAAAATGGGGCTACCGGGGTGGAAAACGGGGTTATTGGGGTGAAGAATGGAGTTATTGGAGTCAATAATGGGGCTACTGGGGTGAAAAATGGGGCTACCGGGGTGGAAAATGGGGCTACTGGGGTTAAAAATGGGGTTATTGGGTTAAAAATGGGGCTACTGGGGTGAAAAATAGGGCTACTGGGTTGGAAAACGGGGTTATTGGGGTTAAAAATGGGGCTACTGGGGTGAAAAATAGGGCTACTGGGTTGGAAAACGGGGTTATTGGGGTTAAAAATGGGGCTACTGGGGTGAAAAATAGGGCTACTGGGTTGGAAAACGGGGTTATTGGGGTTAAAAATGGGGCTACTGGGGTGGAAAACAGGGTTATTGGGGTGAACAATGGGGCTACTGGGGTTAAAAATGGGGTTATTGGGTTAAAAATGGGGCTACTGGGGTGAAAAATGGGGTTATTGGGGTGAAAAATGGGGTTACTGGGGTGAAAAACGGGGTTATTGGAGTGAAGAATGGGGTTACTTGGGTCAAAAATGGGGTTACTGGGGTTAAAAGTGGGGTTACTTGGGTCAAAAATGGGGCTACTGGGGTCAAAAGTAGGAATCATTTGGACTAGAAACAGGGGCTGGTAGTGCCTGCAGCCACCATGGCCCTAAAATGGGGGGAAAAGGGGGGGAAAAGGGATTATTGGGGTGAAAAATGGGATCACTGGGGTTAAAAATGGGGTTATTGGGTTAAAAATGGGGTTACTGGGGTTAAAAATGGGGTTGCTTGAGTTAAAAATGGGGTTATTGGGGTCAAAAATGGGGTTACTGGGGTTAAAAGTGGGAATTATTTGGACTAGAAACAGGGGCTGGTAGCGCCCGCAGCCACCGTGGCCCTAAAATGGGGGAAAAAGGGGGGGAAACGGGGTTATTGGGGTGAAAAATGGGGTTACTGGGGTGAAAAATGGGGTTATTGGGGTTAAAAATGGGGTTACCGGGGTGAAGAATGGGGTTACTTGAGTTAAAAATGGGGTTACTGGGGTTAAAAATGGGGTTACTTGGATTAAAAATGGGGTTATTGGGGTGAAGAATGGGGTTATTGGGGTGAAGAATGGGGTTGAGTCAAAAATGGGGTTACTGGGGTTAAAAATGGGGCTATTGGGGTGAAGAATGGGGCTACTGGGGTGAAAAACAGGGTTACTGGGGTTAAAAATGGGGTTACTTGGATTAAAAATGGGGTTATTGGGGTCAAAAATGGGGCTACTGGGGTGAAAAACGGGGTTATTGGGGTGAAAAATGGGGCTACTGGGGTGAAAAACGGGGTTATTGGGGTGAAAAATGGGGCTACTGGGGTGAAAAACGGGGTTATTGGGGTGAAAAATGGGGCTACTGGGGTGAAAAACGGGGTTATTGGGGTGAAAAATGGGGCTACTGGGGTGAAAAACGGGGTTATTGGGGTGAAAAATGGGGCTACTGGGGTGAAAAACGGGGTTATTGGGGTGAAAAATGGGGCTACTGGGGTGAAAAACGGGGTTATTGGGGTGAAAAATGGGGCTACTGGGGTGAAAAACGGGGTTATTGGGGTGAAAAATGGGGCTACTGGGGTGAAAAATGGGGTTATTGGGGTCAAAAATGGGGCTACTGTTGTGGAAAACGGGGTTATTGGGGTGAAAAGTGGGGCTACCAGGGTGAAAAATGGGGTTATTGGGGTCAAAAATGGGAATTATTGGGACTAGCAACAGGGGCTGGTAGCGCCCACAGCCGCCATGGCCCTAAAATTGGGGAAAATGGGGAGAAACGGGGTTATTGGGGGGAAAAATGGGGTTATTGGGGTGAAGAATGGGGCTACTGGGGTTAAAAATGGGGTTATGGGGGTCAAAAATGGGGCTACTGTTGTGGAAAACGGGGTTATTGGGGTGAAAAGTGGGGCTACCAGGGGGAAAAATGGGGTTATTTGGATCAAAATGGGGTTACAATGGGGTTATTTGGATCAAAATGGGGTCACTGAGGTGAAAAATGGGATTATTGGGGTCAAGAATGGGGTCACTGGGGTGAAAAATGGGATTATTGGGGTCAAAAATGGGAATTATTTGGACTAGGAACAAGAGCTGGTAGCGCCCACATCCGCCTTGGCCCTAAAATGGGGGAAAATGGCATTATTGGGGTGAAAAATGGGATTATTGGGATTAGCAACAGGGCCTGGAGCCGCCATGGCCCTAAAATTGGGGAAAACGGGGGGAAAATGGGGTTATTTGGGTTAAAAATAGGGTAAATGAGGTGAAAAATAGGATTATTGGGGTAAAAAATGGGGTTATTGGGGTCAAAAATGGGAATTACTTGGGTCAGCAACAGGAGCCGATACTGCCCACAGGCACTGTAGCCCTGGAGCGGGGAAAAATGGGGTTACTGAGGTTAAAAATAGGGTAAATGAGGTGAAAAATGGGGTTATTGGGGTCAAAAATGGGGTTATTGGGGTCAAAAATGGGAATTACTTGGGTCAGCAACAGGAGCCGATACTGCCCACAGCCACTGTAGCCCTGGAGCGGGGAAAATAGGGTTAAAAATGGCAGAAACGGGTGAAAAATGACATTATTTTGGTCAAAAATGGGATAAAAGGGGCGGAAAAGGGGAAAAAATGGGAATTATTTGGGTTAGCAACAGGAGCCGATACTGCCCACAGCCACTGTAGCCCTGGAGCGGGGGAAATGGGGTTAAAAATGGCAGAAACGGGTGAAAAATGACATTATTTTGGTCAAAAATGGGATAAAAGGGGCGGAAAAAAAGGGAATTATTTGGGTTAGCAACAGGGGCTGGCGCTGCCTGCAGCCACTGTGGCCTTGAAACGGGGAAAAGGAGAAAAAATGGGCCACAAACAGAAGTTTTGGGGCCACGAATGAGGATTTTGGGGCCACAAATGAGGATTTTGTGCCACAAACGGGGATTTTGGGGCCACCGGGGGAAAAGGAGAAAAAATGGGCCACAAACAGAAGTTTTGGGGCCACGAATGAGGATTTTGGGATCACAAATGAGGATTTTGGGGCCACCAAGGGGGATTTTGGGGTGCCCACCTTCTCCTTGGTGAGGTCCTCGTCGCCCTCGGGCTGCTCCACCCCAAACTTGTGGTCCATCTCCTCGCCCCCCTCGCAGATGTTCTTGCCTTTGCACAGGTCGTAGACGTGGGTCAGCCTCTTCTTGGGCTGCCCCTTGGACTTGCCCAGGATGTCCTTGATTTTGGGGTTGTTCTGCACAAAAAAACGCAGGTTTGGGGTCACAAAATGCCACTTTGGTGTCACAAAATGCCACTTTGGGGTCACAAAATGCCACTTTGGGGTCACAAAATGCCACTTTGGGGTCACGTTGTGGTTTTGGGGTCAGAAAAGGTGATTTTGAGCGTCTGGTGCTGTCCCATTGTGGTCCCTCAGCATCTCCAGAGCTTCCAGGACCACCCAGCAGGTGACAACTCTGTGTCCCCTGACTCTAGTTGTCCCCTCTTGATGTGTCCCTCAACTTTGTCATCTCCCCTTGGTGTCCCCCCAATTTTGTCACCTCTTCCCGGTGTCCCTCAACATTGTCACCTCTTCTTAGTGTCCCCCAAATTTTGTTACTTCTTCTTGGGTGTCCCCCACATTTGTCACCTCTTCTTGGTGTCCCTTAACTTTGTCACTTTTGGGTGTCCCCCAATTTTGTCACCTCTTCTTGGTATTCCCCAATTTTGTCACTTCTTGGTATCCCCATTTGTCACCTCTTCTTAGCGACCCCCCAATTTTGTCACCTCCTCTTGATGTCCCCCAACTTTATCACCTCTTCTTGGTGTCCCCCCTTTATGTCACCTCCCTTTGACCCCCAGCACCCCCAAAACGGTCCCAAAACCCCCAAAACCCACCACCACCCCCCATCCCCGACGTGTCCCCAAGGTGCCACCGCAGGGCCATTTCCAGCCCAAAACCGACCCCTCCCCCCCAAACTTTTGGGGTCCCTCAGGGTTTTTTGGGGTCTCACCGAGTCCACGAGCAGCTTGGAGCAGAAGAAGCAGACGCAGCGCAGGATTTTCATGGTTTTGCCCAAAAATCCCACGTGGAACACGGGCTTGGCCAGCTCGATGTGGCCAAAGTGGCCCGGACACTCCGTCATGTTCCCTGGGGACACCCCAAAATCACACTGGGGGACACCCCAAAATTGGATTGGGGGGGGTTGGGATAGAGGGGAACCCCCCCAGAATGGGGTTGTGGGGTGGGAGGGGAACAACCCTAAAAAAGGGGAGCACCCCAAAAACCGGGAAAGCCCAAAAAAAAAGGAAAACTCCAAGAAAGGGGGCACCATCCCCAAAAAAAGAGAAGGAAACCCCCAAAAATCCTGAGATGTCCCTCAAGAAATCCCATGGGTAGAGCAAAAGTGAAATTTGGGAAGGGGGGAATGATGGGAGCTCCCCAAAAAGGGGAACCCCACAAAAAAGAACACCCCAAAACCAAGAAATCCCCTTGAGAAAAAGAAGAATTTTAGGGGGTTCAGGGCCTTCTCCCTGTGAAGATTTGGGGGTTCAGGACCCTCTTTGTGAGGGACTTTTGAGGTTCAGGGGGGTCCCTATGAAGATTTGGGGCTTTGGGGTCCCTCCATGAGAATTTTTGGGGTTGAGGGCCCCTCCCAGGAGGATTTTGGGGTTCAGGGTTCCCTCCCAGGAGGATTTGGGGGTTCAGGGTCCCCTCCCAGGAGGATTTGGAACCCCACAAAAAAGAACACCCCAAAACCAAGAAATCCCCTTGAGAAAAAGAAGAATTTTAGGGGGTTCAGGGCCTTCTCCCTGTGAAGATTTGGGGGTCCAGGGCCCTTCATGTGAAGATCTGGGCATTCAGGACCCTCTTTTTGAGGAACTTTTGAGGTTCAGGGGGGTCCCTGTGAAGGTGGGACTTTGGGGTCCTCCCATGAGAATTTTTGGGGTTGAGGGCCCCTCCCAGGAGGATTTTGGGGTTCAGGACCCCCCTAACTCACCAGCACAGGTCTGGCAGCGCCCCGTCCTCTCGATGACACCCTGCCGGGGGTCCATGAGCCCCCCCAGTTTGGGGCGTCCCCCCTCGGTGGTTTCGGGGTACTTGATGCCCCCCTCAGTCACCGACATCCGTTTCTGGGGGGCAAAAGGGAAACTGAGGCACATGGGGACCCCCAAATGCATTCACGAGCTCCCCTCAAAAACCCAAAACGGGTGGGGGTACCCCAAGTGACCCCCTCGGGTGACAAGGAACACTTCAATCACCCCAAAATCCCTCCTGGGCTGTCTGAACAACTTCCAGGGACCCCAAAATCTCTCCAGAATTCCCCCAAAAACCTCCAGGCACCCCAAGTCTCCTTCACAGCAGCCTGAAGCTCTTCCAAGGCCCCCACAAAAAGCTCCAGAGACCCAGAGCCCCTCCAGGACACCCTAAAACCCCTCCAAGGCACCCCAATACTTTTCCCGAGGCCTCCTGGGCACCCCCAGGGACCCCAAAACTCATCCCGAGGCTCCCTGAGCCACTCCTAGGGACGCCAAAACGCTGCCAGGGGATTCTGAGCCACTCTCGGACACCCCAAAGCTCTTCCAGAGCCTCCCTGGGCAACCCAGCACCTTCCAGAACCTCGTTTGTGTCCCTGAGGACCCCCCAAATTTCCCTCCGGGCTCTCCCCTCTCCCCCATTCAGCCCCCCGGGCCTGTGGGGGGCGCTGTCCCCTCACGGGGCCTCTCCGCTCCCCGCTCTCGCTGCCCCGGCGCCATTTCCCGCCGCCGCTCGCCCTCAGCCGCCGGCCCCGCTCCCGCCGCGGGCCCCGCGGTTCCGTCCGCGCCGCCCCGGCCCCGGTACCATCTCATCGGGGCTGAGGATCCCGAACTGGACTCGTTTGATGGTGCGCAGCGGGCAGGCGCTGTCGCCCGAGGGCGGCCCGCCGTGCATGGCGCCGGTGGGGCCGCGGCCTCGCGCCGCTCCGACTGCTCGGAACCGACCCCTTCACGGAGGGGTTGAGAGAGCGGGGAGCTTTAACCCCACCGGGGAACCGGCGCCTCCCGGAGCCCTAGGCGCGGAGCCTCCCCCTTTCCTCTCCGGCCGCTCCGCGCTCAAGGCGCGACTGAGCGCTGTGAGGCATCGGCGCCACATTATATAGACTCGGCCCCCGCGCGCCGCCGGAGGGGGCGTGGCCGGAGCGTACCAAGCGCCTCACAGGAAAAAGGGGGGAGGCGCGGGAAAAAAGCGGAAGGAAGGAAAGGGAGACGCGAGTCCCGTCACGGTCCGTGAGGCGAGCGAGGAGCGGGGAAGGGGCAGGGAGTCAGCGGCTGCTCCGTGAAGCCCTCACGGGACGCGCCGTCGTTGGACCCCCAACTTCCAGCTCGGTGGGATCAGCTCATGAATAATTTATTTTAAAAGCGCCGCCCCCGCCGAGCCCGAGAACCGAGAGATCGCGGAGGCGGGGGAGGTTGACGAAGTGACCTCAGAAACTGGCGGAGATTGCCGGAGATTGCCGAAGTACTGCCGGAAGTGGGCGGAGATCGCCGAAGGGCCTCCGGAGAGTGACGGAAATGATCGAAGTTAACCGGCGGTGCCCGAACGTTGACGGAAAGAGACGGAACTGGCCGAAGCGTTGGCGGATGTTATCGAAAGATGCCGAAGCACGAGCGGAAGATGCCGGAAACTGCCGAATAGCCGACGAAAGATGCCGAAGCAAAGGCGGACGGTGCCGGAAATGGGCGAAGCACCGCTCCAGCCGCGGCCTGCGCAGCCTCGGCCTCGCCCGCCCGGCCCGGCCGCTCCCGGCGCTCCCGACCCGGCTGGGGCGGCTGGGAAAGGCCGAGGCTTTGGGGCCTGTTCCGGAGGGGTGCTGGGGAAGGGGCTGGGCGAGGCCCAGTGGGATTGGAAGAGAATTTTAGGAGCGGGAAAAGGAATTTGAGGGGGCAGGAGCGGTTGGGGGCGCAATTAAGGGCTTGAAGGTTGTTGGCAGAGCAGGAGGGGTGTGGGGTTGTAATTGGGGTAGGAAAGGGGAATTTGGAGAGGCAGGAGCGTTTGGGGGGCAATCGCAGACAAGGAGGGGGATTTAGGGGGGTTTGGGGTGTTTTGGGGCAGCAGTCGGGTTTGGGGGGACAATTGGAGCAGTAAAAGAATGTTTGAGGAGAGTTTTGGAGGGGCAGGAAGGAATAGGGGCCATAAAGGGAGGGGAAAAAGGAGAATTTTGGTGTTTGGAGGGCAGGGAGGGGTATCCAGGAGGAGCAGGAGGTTTTGGGGACAATTACAGCAAGAAAGGGGAATTTGGGGGGAGAACAGCAGAGAGGGGATTGGGGGGAAGGAAAATGGGGATTGTGGGGGGATTTGGGGGCAGAGAAGGAGAAATTTGGGGAGCAGGGGGGATTTTGGGGGTGTGACACAATGTGACAGCCCCACACGGCACAGTCGGACACAAAATGTGACAAATGTGACACAAAATGTGACACAAAATGTGACACAGTCTGAGATACAACCCAAAAGTACAAGCTGACACAGCGCCACACACCAGTTGGACACAAAATGTGACACAAAATGTGACAAATCTGACATAAAATGTGACAGTCTGAGGTACAACCCAAAAGTACAACCTGACACAGCCCCACACAACAGTCGGACACAAAATGTGACACAAAATGTGACAAATCTGATATAAAATGTGACTGTCTGAGGTACAACCCAAAAGCACAACCTGACACAGCCCCACACAACAGTTGGACACAAAATGTGACACAAATGTGACACAAAATGTGACAAATGT